CCCCAACCCCGCCCTCTCCACCCCTCCTGCCAATGCAGCTTCCTGACACGCCACTGCCGGCGCCTCCGCCACCTCTCCGCCGCGCCGCGCGGCGGCTGCTTCGGGCCCGGGCCTGGCCCCGCCATGTGCCGCCTCGCCGCGCTCTCCGGCCGCCACGTGCGCAGCATAACGCTGCTGGATGTGAACATCAGAAACAGAGACCTGCACATCATCGCCCTGTACTGCAGCGGGCTGCAGCGGCTGGCAGTCGGCGGGTGCGATTCAGGATCGGATTGGTGAAGCGTTTGTGTGTGTGTGGGGGGGTTGGGGGGATCACACAGGGACGAGCCGAGGGTCTGCCGGCGCGCATGGGGCGGAGGTGCATGGGGCGAGCCTTGATAGGGCTGCTGAAGGGGAGGGGCCAGGGCGCGCCGCAGCGCCAGCGGACGCCCGCGGCAAGCTGCGCCGGCCCGGACCGTACTCAGCTGCGCCCAGCAGCCACAGGCAGCGCACCCGCCGAGCCGCCCCGCGTGCCGGAGTCGCCGCTGCGCGTCCCGCGCTTCCGACCTGCCGGCCCCGCTGCCCGCTGGCCGGGCGCCAACCCAACACCGACTGCTTAGCAGGACGGCTTCCTTACCGGGCACCGGAGTCACGGCCGCCTCGCCGACCGACGCCGGCCTAGATGCAGTAATCTTCGGCTGCCGAGATCTCCAGTGCCTCTCCCTCTTCCGCTGCCCGCTCGTCACCGACGCGTCGCTCCTGAACCTGGCCGCGGCGCCGCAGCGGCTGCGTGCGCTCGCGCTGCACGCCTGCGGCGGTGTGCGCGCGGCGGGGCTGGCCGCATTCGTGAGGGGCGGGGCGGCGGCGCGGCTGCAAACACTTGAGGTGGCGGCGGCGGAGGAGGGCGCGGCGGGCGGCGGGGCCGCGGTCTTCACGGACGACGTCTGCGCGGCTGTCGCGGCGCACTGCCCGGCGCTGCAGGTGGCAGGATGCTTGCGGTTTTGGTTTCGTGCAGGGTATGCTTCGCGCGTGCAATCCCGTGTGTGTTGTGAGCTATAAGCGGCCTTGCGGCTCGAGGGCTCATCTGAAGAGTCCCAACCCACAGCGACGGTTTGTTTCCCCCAGTTGACCCCGGCCCAAATCAAGCCCTTGTGACAGCCCCAGCTGGGACCAACCCGCATTGCGCAGCCGCCCCACGACTCGCCCCCTACGAGCACCACTCCTGCTGCCCTTCACCACGCCCCAACCTCCGCCAGCCTGCCAGGCCCCCCATAAAAACCGCGCACCCGCGCCTTGCCGCAACTCAGCTTCCCACCGGGAACCCCGCCCTCTACCCCGAACCCACCCCTCAATAACTCAACCCTTGCCGCCAACTCCCTCACTGAGCACATTCCCCACCCCCACACCCACACCGGCACCCACACCCACACCCAAACCCACACCCAAACCCACACCCGCACTCATCACCCCCCAAGGCCCTCACCCTCTGCGAGGAGCGCCTGCACCGCCCCGCCCTCGGCGCCGCCGCCCTCTCCGCGCTCGCCCGCGCCCTCGGCCCCCGCCTGCTGCACCTGGACTTAAATTCAATTGAGGCGGGCGACGCGTTTCTGGGTGTCCTTGCGGGTTCGTGCCCAAACCTGCTGACCCTGTCCCTGTGCGACGCCGCGGCCGGCGGGGCGGGTGTGGCGGCGGTCGCGGGGAAGTGCCCGGGCCTGCGGCAGCTGCGGGTCGCCGGGCGCGCCCTGCACGCGTGGCACCTGCCTGCGGAGCAGGCGCCGCCCGGTGAGCGCGCCCGCCTCGCACGCACGCCCTCGCACTCGTGTACCCCGCACTCGGCGGGCGGCGGGCTGGAGGGGGTGCCGGGGTCGCGCCGGGGCGGCGCCCGCATGACGGCCCTCCTGCATCCGAGGTTGCTTGCGCCTCCCCTGCCAGCCCTGGACCACTGGACCATAGCCCAGCCCTGCTAACAACCGGGCGTGGTCACGAAGCAGAGGGGATCCCCCCTTCCATCCATCTCAAAAGCCCAACTGACAAGGGCCGCCCCTCACCACCCATTGTGGACGACCCACGCGCGCACGTCATCGCTGCACGCAGGCCTGACTGTGTCGGACCTGCTGGACATCTCGGGCCACTGCCGCCACCTCACAGCACTGGAGTTTACCGGGGTGTCTCCAGACCCCGAGCCCCTAGAACCCCCGCGGCCCGCGCAGCCGCGGCGCCTGGAAGAAGCCCTCAACCCACGACCCGTTGACCCGGAGGGGCGGGGACACGGCGGCCTGCACGGCGGCGCCGGCTCCCCCGGGGCGTCTGCCAGCCACAGCGGGGCCGCGGCGGCGCCGGGGGCGACGGAGCCCGCGCCCGCCCCCGCGCCGCCGCTGCTGGCGCCGGCGCTCTGGGGGGGCCTGTCTCGGCTCGCGCTGGACTGGCTTAGGGCCGAGCCGGGGGCCGTGCAGGGGCGCCTGGCCGCGGCGCTGGCGCACTGCGGGGCGCTGCGGCATCTGAGCCTGGCGGGCTACCAAGGTGACGTCACCGAGGTGAGGCATGACATCACCGCGGCGCCCAGGGCGCTTTCGGTTCTCTGAGCCCTAGCCGTGGCCGGTGATTGCAAGTGGTGTTCTCGTAGCTCGTTTGTGGCGGGCGCAGGTGCTGGCGAGGGGGCCGGCTGTCATCGGCGGCCTCTGCCGGCCAACCGCGTTGCCATGTGCGCAAACCGACTTTGAACCCCGACGCACAATGCACACGTGAACACTCTCAGAAAGAGCTCACGCGCCCTCATGCCCCTGAATCCGTCCCTCTGTCCCCCCTTGGCCCTTCCCAGCTCCTCGCCGCGCTGTCCTCGGCCGGGGCCCCGCTCGGGTCCGCGTGTCTCGTGCACGCCCGCGTGTCCGACGCCGCCCTCGCTCTGCTGACGTCATCGTTTGCGTCATCCCTGGTGACCCTGAGGCTGGCTTCCTGCCGGGCAGTTACTGACCAGGGGCTGGCTGAGCTGCGGAAGCTGCCGCGGCTGGAGATGCTCGATTTGTACCAGGTGAGCCGTGGGGGTGGGGTTGGGGGTTGGGGTGCGTTGGTGGGTTGTGTGGTAGGGGTGTGGGTGAGTTTTGGTGTGATGGTTGGTTGGCTGGCTGGCTGGCTGGGCGGAGGGTTTGAACATGGACGGGGGAAGCTGCCCAAGAGTCTCATGTAGGGGACATGGACATAAGCCGTACACCCAGGTGCGGGGGGAATGAGTCAGGGGCTTGGGGAGATGACTGGGTGAGCACGTCCTTCGTATGGGGCGCTGGCCGGGTGTGTGATGCCGCCCCAACTGCCCATTTGAGGAGACGTTTCGCGTAATGGGCCTGGCAAGCAAATCGGCTCATACGAGCGGGCGACTTTTGAGAGGGCAGGGAGGTGGCGGGTTGGTGCGGGGAAAGCAGCGGTGCGACTTCTCCGAGTGGTCCGCAGGATCCACTGGCAGCGAGGCCGTGTGTTTGCTGGTGGCCTCCCCCTGCTGAGCTGCAAGGGCGCCCCGCTCTGTGTTGGACCCCCAACACCCCAAACCCTGAACCCCAAACTCTATACCCGAAACTGTTCTCAACCCTGCCGGGCCCCAGGTGCCGTCGGTGTCGGCCGACGCCGTCGCCGCGCTGGTCACGTGAGCGGCACGCGTCGCGTAAGATTGACACGCGCGCCTGTTACAGCCCGGCGGTCGCGGCAGCAGCCATGATGCAGGCCTAGGCAGCCTTGCAATGATGCCGGCATCTGTTAGTCCTGTCGACGTACAGCCCTTGCCGCGCTGTGCTGTGCCTGCAAGCAGGCTCGCAGGGCGCCTGCTGCCACCGCGCACTCTCAACCCCACCCATGCCCCTCCCTCGCGCCCTCCGCCCCGCACTTGCTCTGTATGCACCGCAGCGCCGCGCCCGCCCTGTCCACCCTCTACCTCGGCCACCACACCGCGGCCAGCTCCCGCCCCGCCGGCGCCGACATGCACCTCGCCCACGTCTACGCGGCCGCGGAAGCCCGACGCCGCGGCGGCGGGGCGCGGGTGTGGGTGATGATGCGCGACCTTTCAAACGACGAGACGCATCAGGCGCGCGCCGCGGCGCGCGCGGCGGCCGTCTGCTGATCATGTCACCTTTGTGGGGGCGGCTGCTTCACCACCTCATGGGTGTCGAGTGATGACGTCACACCACGATGCGGTCTGCTGTCTTCTGCTGCGGCCTGCCTGCCGTGAGTATCCAGGCGTACAGCTGCGCGCAGGGCTGGCTGGACAGCGTATGTTATAAATGTCGTATGCACGTAACAAACGTACAGCCATGCGCAATTGTGTCGACTTCCACAGCTGACCAGCCGGCGCCTCCGTCGCCTGCATGGGCCTGCTCACCCTGGTGTGTGCCTCTCGCGGCAGGGAGGTACAAAACCTGGTCGATAAGCCACGAGTGGGATCGCGCAGCGCCCAGCTGTGGTCCGAGCCCTTTTCGACCGCGCCTCCCCTGGTGCTTGCACCACTTTTTTGTCGCGAAGGCAGGGTGCGCCACTTGGCTGTGGCGGCCGCAGGTCGCCGCCCTGGGCATGCAGCCGCGCTGCGCCCTGGCCGCGACGCCTAGGCTATGGCTTCCGGGTCCCTGTTGCCTGCACTCGCTCACGCCTGGCTGCGGGCGATGCCCTCTGATTGGCCTCATGTAAACCAGTGTCGTGTCCTTTCAGGCAGCGCCGCACTACCACGGGGTGAGGTGGAGGGGTCCACCGTGATCTCTGTCAACTCTCTGCTCAAGTGGTCTCCCTTTTTTAGCAGGACCCGCACAGCAGATGCCACGTTTGTGCGTCCGTTCATCGGCTGAATCCCCGTTTAAGGCTTCAGGGGCTGAAGGTTCTATTCAAACCAGGGCAATCACTTGATGTGAGTGGCACCCACTAGGAAGCTGCCACACGTCTGAGGACCCAGCTGCTCAGGAGCCCTCCTGCTACCATTCGCAGACGACACTAAGCAATCAACACCCTGGCTCAGAAAATCAACAGACCTTTACATCAAAAGGGAGACAATGCACGAACATCAATCACACGGCACTAGTGCATACATCAATTGTACACTGTGTCACGTACAACCAGTGGTGCTTCTGAGTGGCGATTGCAATCACGCACAATTGTTTTCCTGCAACAGCCTGCTGATGCACATGTCCTATGTGTAAACATATCAGCCGCTCCTGCACCCCGCTGGCACCCACTCTGTCGCATCGCCCAACCATACCCGGTCGCACAACGAACTTCACATGTGCGCGCAGGCCACATACATGGAAGCACCTGCTGGCCCCCAGACCCTCACTGATGCATGGCAGTCATCAATGCCCAAATCCGGGCCCGCCGTTGAACGGGCCGCGGCCGTTGTAGGGGCCGCCGTTGAACCCCCTGCGGCCGCCCCCGATGCGCCTGCAGTCGCGGCTGTCGCGGCCCAGCAGGTTCGAGTTGAAAATGGCGCCCAGAGGGTACCAGCCCCCGTTTGCCCTGCGGCGGGCAGTTTGAGCAAGGGGCAGAGGCGGGAGCGCCGGGCGGAGGCCGGGGCAATAACATTGCGTGTTGAAAGAAGAGCAGTTTTCCCATGCATCCTCATATGGAGTTGGCCCAGATTGGGGCAAGTTGCGTCCAATCAATCTACTCCTTGAAAATGCCGGCTCGGCTAGGGTGTTGGCAAGATGCTGCAGGGGCTGTGCTGAACATGAATGGCTTGTGCGAAGAAGCAGGGTTGAAGGGCCCCGCAAGAGCACCTGACGCAGCTGCCCGTTGCTCACCAGGCAACCTCGACCCAGTTGTTGTTGACATTCACCCAGGGGCGGTTGTTGCGGCACACGATGGTGTTCCTGCGCAGGTCGTACGGCTGCAGGGGGGCCAAGGCATGGCATAGATTACAGGGAGTGACAGCGGAAATCTTCAAGGGCGGCGGTTGATGTCACGCGCGGCAGGGTCCCAGCAACACACCGCAATGGATCACCCTGCTCCGGAGCAGCCATCGGTGGTGTGTTTCGATCCGCAGTGGGCGCTCTCCATGGCGCACGCGCCACGTCCACCCTGCAAGCATTCACGCATGCTCACGTTGTATCCCCTCCTGATAATTACGGCCTTGAGGTCACGGCCTGGCAGCATAACAGGAGGGGAGCCAGGCGTTCATCATGCTCACGTCAGGACGTCACCCAGCGACGCGTGGGGAATAGGCGCATTGTCGCAACGTTGTGTCCGACAATCATCGGAGTGCGCTTGATCCCAATGTCACCCGCGAACTCAGGCGTCCTGTCACAGCCATCCGAGTGAGCACTGCCACGACCGGTGATACGGCTCTGGTGGCCCCAGCGTACCGGAGGAGCTTGCATGTGCCGTCTGGAATGTCAGACACGCGATCAGAAGCACGCACACCACGCGCGAAGACACTGTGAAGCTCGCCATTGTTGCGAGATCTGTCGTCCCGAGCACGCGAGCAACTCAGTAAAACAGCGTGCGTAGCAGCATATAAATTGCAGCATACAAATTAATTGCTTGAAGTTGAGTCCGCTGCCTCCATGTCAAGAGGGAGTGACGTCGAAGCTCCTGGCAGGCAGCTGGCAACTGCGTCAGTGATGACAGATATTGAAGGATGTAGTAGTGCGGCTGTGAAGTCCTGAAATCGTCATCCTTCTGCCGTGGGAGCTCGTGATACAACCAGCAGGTCATGAGCCGCAGCTACAAAACTGCCAACTAACCAACGCCGGCATCTCTCCACCCAATCATGGCGAGTAAAGGACCCTCTTTCAGACTGAGTCATGCTTTGTAACTATGTTCACTTTGCATGCCAACAGAGGCTGATCGTCCAAGCTGTGTCGATTGCGTTTCGGCTTGCTGCCACCCCCTCCTTGCACTCATTCTGGCTGACGTGAGTGGGCGCATTCCAAACTGCCTTCGGCCACCTGATTCAATTAAAAAAGGATTTGGTGAGAAAGGGCCTCCATCAAATGTGAATATGCTCAGCCTGGTGGGCCGAAACGTGCAGAAGGTCGGATTCGATGGTGGATGTGGGTGATGGATCCCAGACCCCCCTGCCCCTGCACCACAACCTCTCAACTTGAGCAAATGTCAATCGGGCCCTGAAGTTCTCTTACCGTATCATTATCAACCGCCTGGGACCTCATGGCTGGCGCGACAATTGCTGGCGACAGCGCTCTGCTCGCGACACGTGCGTTGCTCAGCAGGTGCCGCATCGTCACATCACAATGTGCAGAAGTAGGGCTGTGAGCAAATTCGAGCGAGAGGCGGGCACTGTTGTTGACAGTAGTTGCTGTCAAGTATCAACATCAATCCTGATGACGTTGGCCACAAGCAAGCAAGCGGCCAACCCATCACCCAGCGCAATACACAAGTGTCCCCTAGCCTTCTCAGGCCGGCCCTGCCCGGTGCAATCAAACTCCCAACACATCCATTTTCGTCCCCCCTCGGCCCCTACGCGCCGCGCCGCCAGCGCTAACTTCCCTCCCTGCTGCCTGGAAGCATTTGCACCCGCTGAAGTCTCAGCTGCGTGCCCTGGCGCTCTTATTTTGCTGCTGCTGCGGCCGGCCACCCAACGCAAGCCGCCAGCCGAGTGCCCCGTGCGATCACCATCGCACGCGCGTGCTCTGCCGCACCTGAGACACGTAGCGTGCTTGGATGCCATGCTGGCAAAGATGATGGCACTCGCCACGCCGCAGCCGCTACCCGTGCGGTAGATGAGGCAGAGCGCTCCATCACGGAGGGTCTTGGGAGCTCTGTCGTGCACTCTCATGTGGATACCGCGGTTGTGAGTGCCACCACGTATGGAGTTGCAGAACAGCACAGCCCAGAGAACGAAGCAGAGAGCATACACCCTCTGCATACCCCACACTGCACACAAGCACGAGCTTTGCGCCAAGAGCAGTGCACCTCGCAAATGTCACGCGACTCACGGCCGCTACCCCTCGCCGGTGAGCAAAAGATTGTCACGCATCAAGGGGCGGGCGGCCCTGTGGTGCGCTCACCCTCGGGGCGGCTGCAGCTGCGTGATCCACTGCCGGCTGGGTGCACTGCACTGCGCTGCACCGAGCTGGCAGCTGGTTGAGTTGCAGCTGCACACTGCTGGCTGACCTGCTGGACTGTATTGCCACTCACTCGTAATCGACATGCCTGCGACACGGACAGCATGCATATTTACAATAAGATGAGTGATGCAGATGTGAGTGTAGAAATCGCGCAGTGTGAGCCGTTGCGGCTGCGCCCTGCCACTCGGATGGCGGCTAGGGCGGAGCGTTGCGCAAGAAGAACGCTTGGAAAGCCAAAAAGAATGCCCGACAGGAGCTGCGGCCAAACAGGTGGATGATGAGGCCGCAGCCGCTCAACGAAAGCGGCATGGCTGGATTGTCTATGACAGCCGGCGCCCGCACCGGCGTGCGCGGAAAGGGGGCAGGCGCAACCTGCGCGCGTGCGCCTGGTGCGTTGTGTGGGGTGGGTCAGTACAGCATTGGTGCGCAGCACGTGGATTCGTCCCACTGCTGTTCCATTCGCCAGTGGCGGCAAGAGTGGATTCCAGCCTCCGCAATGGCACCGACGTGAGTCCCCACGCCGTGCGGTGCGGCCCCGTTAGCAGGCAGGCAGAGGCTGCGGGCGCCCCACTGCCAGGCCCAAGAAGCGTGCACAGCCGCGGCGCGGCGGTGGAAGTCTCGAGGCGCGTGCGCGAGGGAGGAGGCATCACCCTCTGGTGGGGCTCTGGCACATTTCGAGGTGTGCGTGTTTTTCTGGTCGCCATGCATGTGCAGATTAACGCAGTTTGAAGCAGAGACGTGATAATGGGGGGGGAGGAATAGGAAAAAATGGGCTGCATGGCATCTATGGTTGAAACGAAAGAAGAAATCAGGCTGATTGAAAAACGGGGCCGGCATTGGCCGCGCCGCAGCCGTGGCCTGTGGATGGCGGCCAGTGCTGGGCCCTGCCAATCGCATGGGCGCCTGTCGTCTGCATCGTGAAAGCTGCGTGTCTATCTTCATGCACAGACCCGCCGCCCGTCCTCGCCACCCCATACCAACTGCAAGGACTGGCTAAGGGAAGGCACATAAACAGCGGCTCGCGCGGAAGACTCGCCCCGCCACGCCGACGTGCCTACGGCCGGCGCGCCTCGACCCTGCCGTCCCCGCCCGCACGCCGCCGTCTCCCAGCGGCGCGCGCCTCAGCTCCAGATCGCGAGCACGCACATGCAGGCCGCGCCCATCAGCAGGCCGCCGATCATGCCCAGCCGCAGGCGCGCCTTCACCACCAGGTCCTCGCGGCTGAACTCCTCAGCAATCAGCTGGTACATGGAGATGTAGCTGCGGCGGTTGGGGGCGGAGAGAATTGCATGGGAAGAAGGGAGGTCAGAGGTTTGATTTTGGGGGCAAAGAAGAAGGGGTTTGTAGGAGGAACGGGACGAGGGCACGGAGGGGAGAGGTTGGTGCTCCGACGCGCGCGCAACCAAGCGTGCGAGGCAGCTTCCCGGGCAGGGGAGACAAGGGCGCCAGCTTTTGAAACGTGGAGCGCTGGCTCCAGCGTTGCGTTCAGCCGCGCAGCAGGCCACCAGCTGCAGACTTCAGCACCCCATCACATGCGCGAGCGCACATTCCCACTCCCAAGCTCAACCTCGCCCCTCCGCCCTTCCCCGCCCCCGGCCGCTCACAGCAGCATGCCGCCCGACACGCCGTTGAGCGTCCCCTGCACCGCCTTGCTGGTCACGCCGTCGTGGTCGTACGTCGCGCTGGCCGCGATGCCGATGGCAATGCCGGCGCTGGTTGTGAGTGAGTAGAGCACCACCATGGCCACCTTCTTTGCGAGGCGGAAGTGGGTGAGGGCGAGCACTGTGCCGAGGGACATACCCTCCAGGCCCTGGTGGACGATGAGGGCGACCTGAGGGGTTGTTTTGGGGGGGAGACAACGCGGTGTGTGTGCATGAGTGTGGATTCATGTGTGTGTGTGTGTGTGTGTGTGTGTGTGTGTGTGTGTGTGTGTGTGTGTGCGCGCATGTGTGTGTG